AAAAAAAAAAAAAAAAAAAAAAAAAGCCAATAAATGGGGCATAGATGGACTGTGCCTCAATATATGAAAAGCCCAGGCTAACATACTCAACAGTGAAAATATTAAAAGGCAATTCTAAGATCAGGAACAAGACAAAGATAAACAGTGTCACAACTCCTTTCAACATACTACTGAGAGGTCTAGCCAGAAAAATTAGAGAAAAAAGGGCTGGGGATTTGGCTCAGTGATTCCGCCGTATTCTGCCATCTGCCTCACAAGCACAAGGACCCGAGTTCGATCCCCAGTACCAAAAAAAAGAAAAGAAAAGAAAAATTAGAGAAAAAAAAAAGAAATTAAAAGGAATCCAAAGAGGAAAGGATGAAGTGAAATTATCTCTGGTGGCAGATGTCAGGATCTTACATACAGAAAACCCTGAAGAATCTACCCCCCCCAAAAAAATAGAACCGATGAAAGAATTCAGTAAAGTTGCAAAACATAAAAATCAAAACCCAAAAGCCAGTAGTATTTCCTTACACTAACAATGAACTATCTTAAAAAAAGGAAAAAGAAAAAAAATATCAATCTGCTTCACTACAACACCAATAAATAAATAAAATATTTAGGAGTAAATTTAACCAAGGAAGTTAAAGATCTGTTTACTGAAAAGTGTAAATCATTCACTTATGAAAAAAATAGATGGCACAAAGCAGGGCATGATGGTATATGCAAGTAATACCAATACTCTGGGAGGCAGAGCAGACAGATTACAAGTTGGAGCCCAGCCTATGCAACTTAGTAAGACCCTGCCTCAAAAAGATGGGAGTTGGAGGGATAGCTCAGTGTGCAGGCCCTGTCTTCAATCCTCAGTACCACAAAGGAAACAGAGATGAAACAAATAAATGGAATGGCATCTCATGTTCATAAACTGGAAAATTAATGTTGTTAGCTGTTAATATTCAATGCAATACCTATCAAAATTTCAATGACATTTTAGCAGAAATAAAAATTCTGAAAAACGCATATGGAACCACAAAAGATCACAAATAGCCAAAGCAATTTTGAACAAAACGAACAAAGTTGGAAGCATCACACTGACTTCAAAAACCTATTACAAAGCTACAATAATCCAAAAAGCATGTTACTAGAAATGAAAACAGGCACATTAACTTGTGGAACAGAATAGTAAACCCACAAATAAAACCACACACCTAAAGTCAATTGATTGTCAACCAAGATGCCAAGAAAACACACTAGGAAATGGACAGTCTCTTCAATATATGATGTTGGAAAACTACATATCCATGTGCAGAAGAATGAAATTGGATCATTATCTCACACCACATACAAAAAAACTAGATTATAAACATAACTATAAAACTAGATTATAAACATATTAACATCAACTAAAACTAGATTATAAACATAAATGTAAAATCTGAAACCATTAAACTACCAGCTGAAAGAAGCATGGCACAAATATTCCACATTAGTCTGAGCAGAGAATTTTTTTGGACAGAATCTTAGATGTACAAGCAACAAAAGGAAAAATGAATAAATGAGACTGCACTGAACTAAAAAGCTTCTCAGCAAAGGAAACAATAAAGAGAAAACACCAACTGGGAGAAAAACTGCAAACCATACATCTCATAAGGAGTTAATATCCAAAACTGATAAAGAACTCAACTCAGTAGCAAGAAAATGAAGAACCCAATTTAAAAATAGGCAAAGGACCAAATAAACATTTCTGAAAAGATATATAAATGCCCATGGCTGAGGATGTAGCTCAATGGCATAGCACCTGTCTGGAAAGCACAAGGCCCTGAGTTGATTCCTGGTACCAAAAAAATAAAATAAAATAAAACAAATAGCCAATAAATATACAAAAAATGCTCATCACTAATAACCAGGGAAATGCCAATGAAATTCACAACGCAGTATAACTTCACACCCATCAGAATGGCTATCACTGAAAAGAGGAAAGATGAATTTTGGCAACAACCTACAGACAAGATTACCCTTGGGATGCAAATTAGTAAAGCCATTATATGAAGAACAGTATGGAAAGGGCTCAGTGGTTCCACCACCTGCCTCCTAAGGGCAAGGGCTGGAGTTCGATCCCCTGTACCAAAAAAAAAAGTTAAAAAAAATAAATAAAGGACAGTAAGGAGATTCCTCAGAAAACTAAAAATAGAATTATATGACCCAACAACCTCACATCTGGGTATATATCCAAAAGGACTACAACAGGGCTGGGGATTTAGCTCAGTGGCGCCACACCTGATTCTCAAAGGACTACAATCAGAATGTCAGAGATACTTGCATTTCCATGTTCACTGCAGCATTAAAGCAGGATAGACAAGACAGGAAATCAAGTTAAGTGCCCATTACTGAATGAGTGGGTATAGAAAGTGTTCTATATAGTATATTCTATTCAGCTGTAAAAAATAAAATTCTGTCACTTGTGACCACATGGATGATCCTGGAGGACATTATGCCAAGCAAAATAAGCCAGGGCCCATGTGATCTCACTTGTACGTGCAATCCAAAAACAAGCTGAAAGGTAGAGAACAGAGGGTAACTGTGAGTCATGTTGATTAAAGGGTACAAAATTTCAATAACAAGCTTCAGTGATCTACTGTACAGAATAGTAACTATAGTAAATAATGCATGACTTTTTTTTTTGGTACCAGGGATCAAACTCAGGTCCTTGTGCTTGCCAGGCAGGTGGCGGAACCACTGAGCTAAATCCCTGGCCCTTGCATCACATATTTTCAAATTACTAGTTTAAACATCTTTACCACATAAAAATGGTGAGGTGGGCTTGTTAACAAGTTTCATTTAATCATTTCACAATATAAACATACATCAAAACTTATACCCCACAAGTATATAATATATACAATTACTTGTCAATTAAAATTTTTTAAACAAAAAAATAAAGTAATATTTCAACTTAATTCATTTCAAATTAATCCATTCCTCTGTTTAACACCTGCTAAGAGCCAAGTAAGTATAAGTTGACACCTTAGTACTTATGATCAAAAGGAAATCTAAGGAAAGGAAAATTAAATATGCATAGTCACTTTCCTTGCAGCTGAGACACAATACCTGACACCACAGCTTAAAGGAGATGTTTATTTGGGCTTATGCTTTTGAGAGGTTTCAGTCTAGTTGGCTGGCTCCAATGCAGAGAGCATGGTGAAAGGACCTGGGCAGAAGAAAGCTACTCACTCTGTGGTGACCAGGAAGCAAAGAAGGAACACGGGAGGATGACAGACCCTCCCAGGTCATACCCCAGTGACCCATCCACTCCCACCAGACACCACCTTTTCACAAGTCAGCTACAGCACCTGATAATTCATTCATCCTCCAAAATCCCCACCTATGGCACATGAGGCCTTTGGGAAACATGGTCTATGTAAGCCATATCACATAGAATTTGAGATAGATATAAAAACAGCTTATACTGCTACTTCAAACATAGGCTGAAGTTAGTATCATGCAGATTTCCATGTACTGATTAAGATAACCCCAGAAACTGAAGGATTAAAAAGGAGTTACTTAATATGTATTTTTCTAGAGATTAAATAAAAGCTAGGATAATACATATCAGCTCTAATTCACTGATTATGACACATCATGACAAGAGAGTACTTTTCCACAGAACTTTTTTCCATATCACAAATGCTGAGTTTTCCTGTGATGTACAAGCTGGTCACTGCTGATCCAGTGAAATCCTACGCCCTCCAGCTTGAGCAGTATTATAAGAGTCACAAATCTGACATTTCATGCCCAAAATATGGAACTGGACTGTAGATCGTCCATTGCAGTCATTGCAGAGAATCTGAAAAGTAAAGAAATAACTTCAAGACAAGTACTTCAAATATTATATATACAAAAGCCATTGCCCACATCCACTTGACAATTACATCAAAGATAAGAAAATACATACACTATGTATGAACAGTTCCCTAAGTGGAAATATCTTTTTACTTTCACTCACTAAAAGGATATTAGGATAACTTTGAATTTAGAAAATGAAAATGCAAGGTTGAGTAAAGGTGGCTTATTTTAAAATACAGTAGTTCCCAAATAATATAGTACAAACAAAAATTAATCTAGGCATACTCAGATCAACACCTCGTATTTACAATTTAAGATATAACATATGATTTCATTATTTCTCACTGGCACTGAGAAATTTATCTCATTTAGTCAATGAAACTGAAATTTTCATTACAGCATTTTTGCTTTTTTTAAACTTATTTTTTAGTTTATTGTACCAAATCCTTAGTCTACTATGTCTCAGGAATAAATTAAAGTACAAAAAAGAGTGTTTCCTAAAACTGAGTAAAGAAAGGCTCTCATGTCATCCTTAAAATGACAAAATGCCATTTAATAATAAATCTCTTCTGATCTTTAGATCCTGAAAAATGAAAAAGATGTTATCCCCAAAATAGATCAGTGAACTACTATACAGTGAAACATAAGCTTTAGTATGGTCACATCATCAAAGAAATTTTCCAAATTATAATTTGGAAAACAATTCTTTTAAAAATATTACCTAAATATACAAAGATTGCGAAGACCCCAGGGAGGCTGGATAATGACTGTGAGTGGGCACTGGATAATGACTGTCACTGTGTACTGCACAAGGTTTCTTTCTGGCTGATGAAAACGTTGTAAAATTGTGGTGGTGATGTTTGTACAACTCCATGAATATACTAAAAAGCAAGTGTACACTTTGAGGAATGAGTTATATAATATATGAATTTTACCTTAACAAAGCTATTGTTTAAAGATTGCTACATAGAATATATTATACTTCAGCCTCTGGTTAATATAATTATGACTTTATCCTTTAAGTGATACTTCACTGTCCATATTAACAATTTGATTATTCACAAGAATTATGAAACCCTCCAGGATGAATCACACCAAAAATTTTTATTTGACTTTGTTATGTGGTTTTCACATTTGTCTGTAGAAGTATTTGAAGATGTTCAGAAAATGTCTATGTCCAAAAATTGCTACAACACCAGAAAGCTTATCTAGCTTTCTCATTCTGATCTACAAGGTGTGATCAAGAAACAGTGTCTGTTTAAATAAAAATAATTTGTTATAATGAAGACACAGTGCCATTAATCCTCCTTAAAATACTTTCCCTCACTTCAAACACACTTATCATTCTTGCCACATATGAAGCACTTCCCAAAGTCCTCTTTCATAAATGTCTTTAGCTGCACTGTCATGGCTGCCTTGATGTCTTGAACCAACTCAAAACATCTACCTCTCATGGCCATTTTGACTTTGGGCAAGAACCACAAATTGCACAGTGTTAAATCAGGTTAATAAAGTGAACAAAGGCACATGGAAATGTTTTTATGAGCCTGCTTTTCCATCAGATGGCACTTGAACTCACTGTATTTTTTATCACATCTCATAAAAACACTCACAAGAGGTCTTCCAGAATGGCTTCAGAGAATGGCAAGAATAATGGGATATGTGTGTCTGAAGCAAGGGGAAGTACTGTGAGGAGGATTAATGGCAATGTGTCTTTAACTGTAATAAGTCTTTAAAATTTAAATGTAAACAACATATTTAGATCACTCCTTGTATAACTCAATACTGTGCTGAAAATAAACTACTAGAGTAGTACATCTCAATTAATGGAAAACAAATGAACATTCTCTGTAAGGCAAAGCGCAAAAATACTTTTTATACTAATTTAAAACAAATACAGTAAGTTTAAAATAGAATTGTAAAAAACAATAAACTTTAAAAACCAAAATATAAACTCAAAAATGAGTAACTATGTTTCCCTGAAAAAAAAGTGAAAATAATTACAGAGAAAACAGCAGTAATCCACCCTTAGCTAGTTATATCACTGACTGGCAAGTAATGGGTAAGTAACTCAGGATAAAGTTTCTGCCTACCATCTAGTGTTGGTAAAAACTACACAGCAGTATTCTTAGGACTTTTTTCTCCTGGTCTGTGCTCAACAACACTAAAATTTAAACTTGTTCCACTCACTAATCATCACAATGACATTTATGTCAATGCAATTTTTAGACAAATTTCAGAAAAAGGGCAAAATTTTTAAAAAGTATCAACAAGAAGCCTGAAAAGTTGTAAGCATGGATTGTACTCACATCAACGGTCATGTTCTGATAGTCTGATGGCATAGGAGTCTGTGCTACCTCGCTGTCCAGCTGTCTCCAGTACCAAGTCATGTCTAAGGCAGAGTGCATGCACAATGGACACCGGTAGCCTCTGCAAGAAGACAGAGAATAAGTGTCACTCACAAATGCAGGTGCAAGCCATGAGGTTCAGAAGCCTTTTTAGGGCATCATCTGTATCTCAAATAATCTCCTAAGAAACAAGGAAACTTCATCATTAAGAGGGTTAAATTAAATCCTGTATATTATGCATTTTTTAAACCCTAAGTCTTCTTCCTCAGTTCTCTAAGATCGAATCAGTCTACATTCTTCATGAAATATACTTCATATACTGAAAAACACCAGTGGAGCTACTCCTTAGCTAAACAACCTCAATTTCTTAAACACTCCTGCAAAGAAGAGACTGCAGCCCTTAAAAACTACTAAGATCAATTATTGTTTGTTTCCTTTCTAAAAATTCAAAACAAGTTCCCCTCTCCTTGGTTATCAACATTTCCGCTCATCTATTATCAGGATCAGAATACATTTACAGTCTCTTCTTCCTAACTACTTTTCATTTCTTTTTAGTTCTGCTTTTAAGTAAATTCTTTACCAGTTTTCCATGACCTGACAACATTTTTAGCACCCTCCTCAGTGTTTTCAGAATACCATGACTGCCTCTGGTGGAGAGTGTTCCTTGACAAGCATGGCTAAACAACAAGTATCTGTCTTGAGTTGTGGGAGTACATAAGGCGTAAGAGAAACTGGAATTCAGGTACAGTCACATATCCTCAAGATGCTGTGGCCAGTTTAATACCATTCATCTACCCTACTGATCTCAACATAAACATCTGTCATGCCCAATAATGTGTAAGCAGCAGTCACATTTGCCCACCTCCTTACTTACACACACACAAAGGAAAGACATCTTACAATTATAAGTTTTTAAAATTCCATCAAAACTCACTCTTTCAACATTTCTTCATAACACGTTCTGAAAGAAAATATAACAGTATTTTAGTAAAACGAATGCCCATTTCCTTTCCAAAAACTAACTCCACTATTTTAAAACATATGTAAGGAGGAAAACATTTTTACCTATGTAAAAGATGTCCACATGGCAAGACCTGAGCAACAACACGGGATGTATGAATGTCCTACAAAAGGAAAACGTGAGTGCTATATAAAGATGATATCAACACCTAAGTATTCTAAATCAAGAAGGGAGGCTTCCAAAGTGAAAAGTTTACCTTACCTCCAAACATATTGGACAATTCTGCCGAGAAACATTTTCAATACACTGTTTAAAGGAGAAACTCAGATTAATGAAAGCTTAAACAGATAAAAATGCCAACAGTGTATTAATAATAAAAGCTAATAAAACCAACTTATTAAAAACAATAGCTGGGGCCAGGGATTTAGTTTGGCAGCACTGCACCTGCCTTGTAAGCACAAGGTCCTGAGTTCAATCCCCAGTACCACAAAAAAACAAAAAAGCTAATATTAATACATGCTTCTGATACGTCAGTTTTTTATTAGTCTTTAATTTTCACAGCATCAGGCTTGATACATTACTTGAATCAATAAAAATACTCAATAAACCTTAACGTCATATTACCTTCATTTTATAGACAAGGAAACTGAGCCACGGAGTCAAGATACATTACAGTTTACATCTAAAATGTACCCCCAGCCAGGGATTTAGCTCAGTGGCCCTGTGCCTGCCTCTCGAGCGCAAGGTCCTGAATTCAATCCCCAGTGCCAAATAAACACTACAATGTACCCCCAAAGTCTCACGTGTTTGGAAGGTAATTGGATCACAAGGACACTGACTTGTTGTTAGGAAGTGGGGCCTGCTTGGAGGGGTGATCTTGTCCTCGCTCCTCCCTCTCTCTGCTTCCTGACAGCTAAGGGTTGAGCAGCTGTCCTTCACCATTAGTTTCCACCTTGGAGCCAGCTGACCATTGACCAAACCCACCGTAAACTGTGAGCCAAATAAACCTCTCCTCTAAGTTACAGCTGTTGGGTATTTTGTCCGAGCAAAGGAAAAGCTGACTAATACAAGATATTCTAAATCCAAAGAAAACAAGGTTTGAAAGTTTCCCATCTTATAAATGTTGTATTAGAAACCACTGCCCTAAATTAGTAGGCTAAACTAATAATCTCTTGGTATAATAGATCATATAGAGATTTACTACATGCTGTTCAAGTACAGGACCTGTACTAGCTCAATTAATTCTCATAACCTAAGATGAATTAGGCAAAATTACCACTTCATTTTACTGATGAGCTAGCTGAGGCCCAGAAAAAGTAAAAAACTTAAATTTTTTTAGTAAGAGACAGAATTAAACGTGAGTCCCAGCAGACTAAATGTAAAGCTTGCATTCTTAGCTTTCAAGACTTAATGTCTGCTCAGATACCAGAAGATAAGGGGAAGTGCCCTGCTATGGTGACTCCTCAGTTTTAGTGCAAGTATATGGGCAGCAGCCATCATCACTTACTAATATACAGGCAATAAAAGATAACCAAGAAATAGCAAAATAAAAAAAAAATCACAGGAGAAAATACACAGAGCCCTTTAAACACAACAGAGAATGATGTGGAGAAAATCCTCAACAGGAATAAATTTTAAAATTTGGATGTAATCGCACCCTGGCTATTTATGAACCCTTCAGATGTAGATAATGGGACCAGGACTGGGGCTCCATGGAGCACTGGCCTCATATACCTGAGGCCCAGGCTCAATCAGCTCAAACAAAAAAACAATAAAATAAAGAGACTGTGGACAAGCACTTCTTTTACCTTATTTATAAAGTAGAACTAATCTCACATAACACACATTTTAACATCTCTGATCACAAAGTGGCTGATAATGGGTGTTTCAAGGACAAGAGGCACATGCACGCGCACACACACAATAATGCAGTGGGCTGGACACACACACCACAGCTGCTCTGGACACCAGCCCCACATCTCAGCAGGCAACTCGGCTGCTCCATGAGCCTGCCTCACTTTATCCAAGCCTAAGCTCACAGAGCCAAACTCAATCTTTAGTCTGAGGAATCCAGTTACACATTCTGCATGCTCATTACTCATCTCCACTTTCCTTCCCACTTCATTACAGGCCATGTATCTACACCTTATCTCTCTGCAAGACGTCTTATCCTTTCTTTCTATTGAACCTGCATAGCACTAAGCAAAGTCTCTTTCTAGTTACCATGTCTCTCTCTCCCTTTTCTCCCTCTCTCTCAAAATATGTTGCTATTCACAGTTCTCTTGATCTGGAACTTGCTATACTTGTAAAATATGATTTATATTCCAGTCTATGCCAGTCTCCATTCTAAAATTTTTAAATAGGTACAATCAAGTAGTATTAAATGTTTTTATTAGGTAGTTTTTAAATAAAAGAGAGTGTGAGGTTATGATAAAATTCCTATATCCAGATTAAAAACTTTACATATTATGAAAGGAAATACAAAAATACTACCTTTTCTTAGAATGCTGTGCAAGAGATTACACTGCTTGGTACTGCTCCTTTTAATCTCAGAAGCAGGACCAATGGTAAGGCATACCCTGACTTAGAGACTGTCAATATTACACAAAAAACTGACAGAAATACTCAAAACAAACTGTTGATCAAATGTGCTAGGCATGTTTTAGTATCAACTTAATACTGCTTTATAAAAAGCATGAAATATAGATTTACACATTATCTGAAAGTTATCATACTTCTAAAACATATTAGAATTTCAGCTCCTCTTTGAAAGCATTGTAATACTTTAAAAGTTATGCAAACTGGATTATATACCTTATGTTTTCCTTGAAGATTCAAAGCTAGGCATAAGTTACATTTCAAACAGTGGAAAAAATCTTCCTTTGGACCAATCCTAACAAAACATATGAAAGCCAAAAGATTAGATTTTCTTTTTAACAGTGATATTTTGTTCATAACACCTAAATTTAGTCCCATGAAAAAAAAATTCAAACCACACTTATATGGGATAAAGTCCCATCTCTGCAACATCCCTCTCTCCAAATATAAGCACCTTAAACAGAATGGTCTCTACTCACCTAAAGCTGTTTTGTTTTGTTTTACCACTATATAATTACATACATAGGAAAAAGAGAAAAGACAGATACACACAATTTGGGTTTTATTACTTACACAGAGATTCTTCCTATATGTAACATTGTGCAACTCTTTCGTTTAACAATATATATCCTGAGGATTACATCTGACTAAAGGAACCACTTTATTTTTCTTAAAAGTTACATACAACTCTCCCACAATAACACTATTAATATGGTATAACACCATATATCATAATTTTTAAAAGCATTCCTTTATTGATAAAATTTACAATCAATTGCTACCAAAAAAAATTAAGCATCCTTGTCAAGATACATTTTTTTTTTACAAGATTTCTAAAAGTAGGAGGGGGCCGGGAATTTAGCTCAGTGGTTTCGCTGCCTGCCTCACAAGCACAAGGATCCGAGTTCAATCCCCGGTACCAAAAAAAAAAAAGAAAAAGATTTCTAAAAGTAAAACCACTGAATCAGAAGATGATTCATTGTGACATGCCAAACTGAACTCCAACAAGAAAGAACTGATTTACCTTCCCAGCCAAAGTGCATGGCATTAGAGGGTACTGTCCCCACAACCTGGACAACACTTACAATACGCATGACAGACAAATAACAAATCTGCATCTTTCAAATTAACAGACGCAATATACTTTAATGCTTATGAACCATATGGGTTTTTCCTGTAGATTTTCTGTAGACATATTCTGTCCCCTTTTTTTACTGAGGTATTTGTCTTTTACTAACTTATAGAAGGTCTTTACATAGCCTGGATATTGTTATGTTACATTTATTTTTCGGACTGGTCATCTCTCCTCTGGTAGTTTTTCTTCTTTTTAGAGAGGTCTCATTATACTGCCTGTGTTACCCCAACTAGCCTCAAGCTCAAAATTCTCCTGCCTCAGTCTTTCAAGTACCTGGAACTACAGTTGAATGCCACCTTGCTTGGCTACAGCCATTTTAAATTCCTATGCACCATCAATATTTTCCTTTATAGCTATGTTTTCTACCTATTATTTAGATGACTTCTAACAACTACAGACTATAAACATTATCCTTTGCATACTGCTAATACTTAGTGCTTTTCCTTTATATTTGTTTTTGTCCCTAAGACAAGACTGCTAGTTGTCCCTAAATTTCTATTCTCTGTTTCTTCCACAGTAACGCAACATTTAACTAGAAAATGTTATTCAGAGCTGTCCTGAAAAAATACTATTTTCCATCTTCTCTTTGGCTGCAGAGAGAAGAGAGAAATCAAATTCTGTGTTGTGCCCTTATGAAGAAAGAGTATCCTTCCTTTCACCCATTTTCCCACTGGCCATAACAGGAACCATTAGACTACAGAGACCCATGCAGAGAAAAGGGAAAAAAGGAGCCAGGACTTTGCCAGAAGAAATAAACCTCTGCCTTTCCTGAGGAGTCATTATTATCTTGGCTTTCTGTCATACAATGCTAAAACCACATTCTAATGAATATAAAGAGTTTTAAGAATCAACTCTTTGCTTTCCGAACAAATAATCAACTATCCTAGTATCCTTAGCTCTAATTTAAAATGTCACTTTTGCTATAAATTCATGTGGATATGTGACTGATATTTAAATGACAATATAAGAATTCATTCATTCCAATGACATGATTTTAAAAGTTACTATGAAAGAATGCTGCCATTACACAAACATTTTAAACTTGTCTTTTGATAGCTTTTTTACTTAAAAAATAATAATTATTTGATGGTCATATGTCATTTCTGACCAAAGATAGTATTTGTCAATCTCAAAGATTTTGCTCTCAGTACCTTTGAGAAATTTTTAAAAAGTTAAAACAGAGCTGTGCATGTCCTCCAGGAGGGTGGGTTTCCAGGGTGCCACAGGCACTGATCAAAAGGAAGTACAGAACAGTCATTTTGAGGATTTCTGAACAATGACAACAGATGTAATAATAACTCCTTAAATATCTATTTGAATTGACCATACTCATTTGTCTAAAACCTGAGTCACATAATTTTATTATACCCAATAATAAAAATATGTGAAACAATTTTTTTTATTTTAAAACATCTTTGGTACTATTTCCTAACTATAATCCACTGATTATGAAAATGATTCCATACCCAGATATTAAAAACCCAACAGTCTTATAAGAGACCTACAGTGCACAATTAGCAAGTTAGAAGTCCTGAGAAATGGAGATTAAATTTAGCATTTACCATTTTGTGGGGGGTACCAGGGATCGATCTCAGGACCTTGCACTTGCAAGGCAGGCAGAGGAACCACTGAGTTAAATCCCCAGCTCAGAATCATTTTTTTTTAAATCAATTCTGTTTTGAAGATTAATATTTTATGGCATTATTTACAGATCTCCCAAAGAATAGGAGAAATCTATTTTCTTTAATAAAATAAACAATCCATTCTGCAATTACAATATGGTTCCATTGAATCCTTTTACAAATCTGATACGACAGGACCTCAGTGATCTTATTTTGTTCTCTAAATTGAAACATTTTAATATTTCAGTATCCTAAGAATTTGTTAAAATTAATTACCAATTATTTATAACTATCCTAACCAAAAACTAAAATGGGAAGTACAGCAAAAACACCTGAAAAATGATACAATATGAAATAAATAACCCTACTGCAAGACCTTTCTGTTAGCACTGCTCAAAGCACTACACCTTCTATCAATAAGGTGTTTAAAGGTCTACAGACACCTTTTTAAACATTTTTAGTTTTCCTTGAACACAACTGAGATATCAGAATTTTCCTTTTCCATCATAAAGGCAAGGAGAGAAAATTAATAAAGAAAACTTTAAACACAGCAGAAGACAAATACAAATAGGCAGAGAGAAACATGGCAGCCCAAAACCAGGAACTATAGAGATTTTGGATGGGATTACACTTGCACGCAAGGACTGTCCTGTATACTGCAAGATAACCAGCAGTACCTGACTCCTCCCAATAGGTGCCACAGCACTCCTCCACACCTGGGGTGGCAGGCAAAACCATCTCCCAAGGTTGCCAAACATCTTCAGAAGGCAAAGTTACTCCCAGCTGAGATCCACTGCTAAGGACTCTGAAGAGGACAGTGGCACTGGTCTCATAAGCAATCAGATGATGACATCCTAGACCAGTGGTAGTGAACCTATAACACAAGTGTTACTGTGTTTTTCTTTTAAGACAAAAGATTTTCATGTATGAGTTGTTTTTCCTAAACTAAAACCTCAGTATTCAGATTTATTTGCAGTGTTGGCCCTTTGCAGTAACTGGGTTTGGGCCCTCGTCTTTGACGGGTTCACCATATGGATGAACATTCTCACACGAGGCAAGAACAAGGAGGGAGATAGTACAGTGGGAGAGCATTGCCTCATATGTGTAAGACCCTAGATTCCAGTCCCAGAAGCACAAAGAAGAAAAAAAAAGAAAAAGGAATGAACAATACATTTTTAGAACAAAAAGAAAGATGGAATCCTCAAATCATAATTATTTTGTAACTTGAAACCATCAGCTTTTGCTAAAAGACCATATGACATTATTTTTCCATCTTTCATAAGGTTGGTACACCAAAATTTACTTAATATTGCTCATAATGGTTAAATGTTGAAAGCGTGTATGTATGTAAAAGTACTAGGCCCAGTGTGATGGTGTAATCCCAGCACACTAGAAGGTTAAGGCAGAAAGGTCACAAATTTAAGCATAAGCTAGACAGCCTTGCAACTGAATTAAAACCCTGTCTAAAAAAATAAAAAGGGGCTGGAGATTATAGCTCAGTGGAAAGGCCTAGGTTCAATTCTCAGTACCACAAAAAAATAAAAACAAACAAAAATAATTGATTGAAAAACTACTGTAAAAAAGAGATGAAAAAATTTTAGAATAATGTTAACATATCTCAAGAGAGAGATCACAACACATTGAAATGGACATTGGAGTGCATTTTATCAATTATAAATTATATCCTAAAGGCGATTTTTTAAAACTGTTATTGCCTAGGTTCATCAGAAAAGAACATTTCACATACAGTACCTACAAATTCCACAGTTTTCACAGTGATACTGCTTCTTATCTTTGTCAAACAGATGGCATATACTGCAGTAATATTCTCCAAACAACGTGCTACAGTCTTCACAAGACTGCTGGGCCTAAAAACAGAAAAAAATAATTAAAAATTGTAATAAATTCACCAAAACATTTTCAATTACTATTTGAATATCCAGATTTGGGGAAGGGAGGTCTTGCTGCATAGTTGAGGTTGGATTATCCTGGCTTAAGAGATAATCCTGACTTAGCCTCTCGAGTGCTGGGATTACAAGTGTATACCACCACACCTGGTGCTGAATATCAAGAATTTATGTTAAAGTATATTTAACTTATTTCTACAAATTTTTAAACATCTAAACCAAAGACATTAGTTAATCTAAGAGTTAAGTCTTATTTATAATTTTTTAAATAAAATTTTTCAATCTTAATTTTTTTGGCAGGGGATTTAGTTCAGCGGTGCTGAGCCTGCCTCACAAACATAAGGTCCTCGGTTCAAACTCTGGTACCAGAAAAAAAAAATTTGGTTAATTTTTTTAAAAAGGAAAGCAAGATGTGGTGGTGAATACCTATAACCACAGCACTCTAGGAGGCTGAGACAGGAGGATCACAAGTTTGAACCCCACCTAGGCAACTAAGCAACACTCTACCTCACATCTGACAGATGCAGAAACATGTCATAAAACCTTACACATTGAATTTTTTCACAGTTGATGCACTGCACTTCCTGTACTTTAAAGCGGTCTAGTTGATGATCCTCGTTGTTATCATGACACAGCCGGCAAGTATAAAGCTTGTCACAGCAAGGTGCCTAAAACAGAGAAAGACACAGGTAAGCAAGAGGAGACAAATTGACTATATTAAAAGAAAATGCCTTTCTTGTCTTCCTGAACACAGTCCTAGATTATACCTAATAGATCACATGCTAACTTTACTGTTTCCTGCCACATTTTATGTTAAGTATTCCTTCAACATCTCTAACCTTTTTAAAACACAAGAATTATGAGGAATAGAAGTCCCTAGCCTAAAAAACAAGTCTCACAACACTCTGACCATTCTCAGCCAACCCCTTCCTAGACATTTCCAGATAAATTCCTTTATATACTTCAATCCCCAAACACAAAATGCATATTTTTTCCAATAATATTGACTAATTATCAATTACATACCTCAAATTACAGGTCACACACAACAACAGTAAGAAGTAAAAGATAGCCCTTGTTTTCAAGCATGACAAAGATAACAACTGGCTACCAAAGGCTCTTCCCTCCTCTTCCTGGGCATCTGAATGCTCAGCTATGCTACAGTTGGGCCATTTAGATGGCTAAAAACTCAGCAAAAACTACCACCGTGAAAATGTGTGTCCCTGGAATGACCACGGGAACACAGCTCCATCAGCAGTGTGGACCACCTACATTGGAACTATGAAGTGGAAAGATACTAGATTCTTTGCTGATGTTATCAATGGTAATGTGCACATCAAGATATTTTCAGGCACTCAGATATTTTCAGTGACTGTATGAACTTGCAGACACTATCTTGAGGCCTTTTAACTCAGGATCTAACATAGTTCTTTTTTTTTAACTGTTCAACACAGAGCTGGCTTTTCAATACCAGACTTCTAAATCTCAGTGATCTGCATACCCATGAAAGCCCTCTCACTACCCTAAAATCTCAGTTCCTTGACTTTCTCACTTTTCTCGGCCTTGTCCTCTGATCTTCCTCAGCAACTACAGAACAAGTGCTTCACATTTTGGTCTAGGAAATTCTTTACACTCTTAGAAATATTAAGAAGACCAAGGAGCTTTTGTTGATTTGTATTTATCTCATGTATGCCATATCATAAATTACAACTGGTAAGGTTTTTTTTTAAATAAAAGCATCAATTTTATTACATGTAACATAACATTTTAATGAGAATAACTACAGTCCTCCTCCCAAAACAGCTGAATCCTCAGAGTATCTGCTTCTGTGTTTGATGAGTGAGGTTGTAGTATATGATAAAACTCTGGCCTCATACAAACAAGTAGTAAGTAGAAAAGGAAAGAACATTTTTAAACCTTTTCAAAGAAACTGATACTACACTAAAACTCAACAACTCTTAAAGGTTAGTTGCAACACAGAAAGCACACCAATGAAACTGCTTCCTATTCCATTAAAAGCCATTCACTTGTCTTGTACTTGGAATGGCTCTTTTACCCATGTATTAGTTATTTGGAAAATATCACTTCCCTGAACTATATAGACCTTCCAAATGTTCACACATTTAATGTATAATCAAAACTTCACATTCATTAAAAGTCACTTGATATTGAGAAGTTTCCAACACCACACTCACTTAAGTTAGCTTAAATTTTCTCACTGGAAACAAATACTGTCAATTGTTTCCCTTGTCCTGAGTCTTAAGTCCCTCTTTTTTAAGAAAATGTCTGTAAGGAGGAGGGGATGAAGGGAGGGCAGAGGTAAGGGGAAAAGTTAGAATCAAGACTTGCCATGTAGAGGTGCATGATCCCAACAATGAATGTAACTGTACTGTATCCCTAAAATGTACCAATAAACTCAATAAAATTAAAAAAAAAAAAAAAAAGAAAATGTCTGTAAGCAGCCAAGGATTTAGTTTGGTGGTTCCGCCACCTGCTTCAAAAGCACAAGCTCCTGAGTTTGATCCCCAGTACCAGGGGAAAAAAAAAAAAGAAGAAGAAAGAAAATGTCTGCCAAATACCCAAGTCTGAATGAACACAGATTTTTTTGAGGAAAGAATGTTCCATGAAAAAAGGGACCATTTCACATCACAATGCAATTATGCAAGAGCTTTTCCACAAGACAAAGTACTTGATGAAAAGTGCCATTTTGTCAGAGTATAAAAAAGACATGCAGGGCTGGGGATTTAGCTCAGTGGTTCTGCCACCTGACTTGCAAGCACAAGGACCCGAGTTCGATCCCTGGTACCAAAAAAATTTTAAAAATAAAAAGACATGCATGCAAGGGTAAGATCTGATAAATTGACAGTAGTTTTACAGCTTTGTCAATTATATTTTTAAGTGTCACCAGCTTTAAAAATTGTATTTACACAAAGTTCACTGCCACTGCCTTGATTCAAGCACAGGTACTGGCAGTTTTTGTCACTGCTTTCCACCATCAGCGCACATGTCAACACAATGAAAAGGGCAAACGATGTCTTAGTACTCCTAGAAAGTAGTTTCAACCTCACAGTCTCAGGGATCCCCATGGTTCACTCATCACACTCAGAAAACCGCTGGTCCAGTACACGGACTCTACCCTCTGCAGTTCAGTTTCAAAAATGAAACTCTTAACTACAACCTCCTCTCTGTTCAATTAACTCCAAGTCTTCCCTTGCGTAACCCTACTGCCCTCCTATCTTTCTCTTCAGATTCATCTACCAACAACACAACCCTAGTCAAATTCAAATCTACTCTCTCCTACGCAACCCATATTAAAAACTGACAATGGGTAGGACAGGAAAAAAAAAAGTATAGTGTCTGGTGTCACTTTTAAATCATAACCACTCACAAAAAGCAAATTCCTTAATATATAGAGTCAAAGACTTAGATTAAATCACCAGATGTGGTGGCACACCCTGTAACCCCAGCACTCAGGAGGTTGAGGCAGGAGGATCTCTATGTCTCAAAGGCCAGCATGGGCTGGATAGTGAGCTCAGGTCCAGGCTGAACTACACAGCGAGACCCTGTCTCACAAAAAAAAAAAAAAAGGATTCAGAATTTAAAATAATCGCTTCATATTTTCACCTCTTTAAAACTCATAACACCTCTTACTCCCTTTTAACACTCTGCTGATAACCTTGCACCTTATTGAAACTGAAATACAAGAAAACATCCTTCCACAAATTCTATCAACCTATTTGCAAATATACCTCATCCTGTGCCTTCCCTTCTTTTAGAAAGCATCACCAGTTAGTCTGTGCCTGTACCTAAGGCCAGCTTCTCCACTGGAGGCACTGGGTCTCTTCCTCTTAGTCTACCTATGGACAATATTCTTACAAGTCTTCTCTCCTCTTTCCACAATATAACATGATCTCTACTGAGTCACTTCCAACAATATACAAATATGAGGTAACACTTCCTAACTTAAAAGGGGGTAAAATCCCATTATACCACATCTATCAGCAACAATGGCCTCTTTTTTTCTTCTTCTCCCAGGTCCACTCCAGCAAAACTCAGAGGCAAAAAACTCTAAGAACTTTTTATTCATGCCCTTTCCAGTTCTCCCATTTTCTTGAATCAATTCCAATAAGATTTATCCCAATCTCTCCATTGACACTCACTTGTCCAGGTCACCATCACTGATGTCTCTGTCAAATTCAAAGGTCAATTTTCAGTTTTTATCTTACTCAAAGAGCTGCACTTGATCTAGCTGACCACTTCCTCCTTGACACTCTTCACTGGTCTCTAGTATAAAGGAAGTTTTTGAGCTTCCTCAGGGCAAAGTATCTTAGTGCTAAGAAACAGATGGAGTCATGTGGTTTCTTCAGAGGAGAGGGGAAGATATTCGATTCCTTTTAGAGATCAAACCTGAAAGGGTAATAGATAATCTGGGTAGAAAGGGCTCAGCTGACAATACAGCCCGAGACTACCTCCTGCTTCTACTCTCTAGTCAGGAACCACAAGGGCTGACTAGTGGAGTTAAGTGGACCAAAAAATGGAGATGAGGGTGATACTAGGAATGTACCTCTCATATGCACTCTACTATGTAATCTCTCATATGCACTCTACTACGTAATCCTTTAGCTAAGATCCCTATTTTATGCAAGGGGCACTGAATAGAAACTTACTCAAAATCGCACTGCTATTAAGGGGCAAAGCTAAGACGTGAGGATAAGACTGCAGGATTTCAAAGCTCAAGCTGACTTTTTCCTTTTTGGGAGGTGGGGTTCCAGGATTGACCCGGGCCTACTCCATGCTGGAATCTTGCTCTACTCTTACGCAGCCGCAAACCAGCACCCAGGATTACGCTGCTTTCCGGCAAAAAGGACCAGGACGCTCCAGCTGGGCAAGCGCCTGTGTAAACCCTCTGAACTAGGAGTCTCCTCCAAGTAAACTGCGAAGGTAAGAACCCACGCTTAGTGGGCGGTTCTTCGCGCCTCATTTCTAATTCGTCTCTGTCTCCTACGTATGATGCTAGCAGGGCGGCAGGCGCGGACTGCAGTGACCCCGCGGTCACCCACCTGTCACCTGCCGGTGACCACCGTTCCCTCGCACACCCGACCGCCCCGCGCCGCCTCGCCACTCCAGACCTGGTACCGTAACTCCGCCAAGGCAGCGTCTGCCGCACTCGGGACCCGGATGGGGTCGCGAACGCCACATCGCCCGGTCCCCGCCAGACCCACAAGTCACCTTCAGTAGGCACCCGCGGTCATAGTGCTCGCAGCCTCGCCGCCTTGGCTCGCGCGCTGTCGCCGCCATCCCAGCCGCCGGAGGCAGCTCACCGGTCGACCCCGCCGTCGGCCCGCGGAGATGGCGGCTGTCACGTGACGTGCACTTCCTGTCCCAGCGCGACGGGCGGAAGTGAGCGCGCCGCCTCCCCAGCTGCTCAGCTACAAAGCTGACGGCCGTCCTCGCTCCGCTGAGCTCTGCTCCTCCCCACGTCTCATAAACTCTCCTTGGACCGCACTGCCAGGCGCTCCCAGGCCTCCGCCTGCCTTGGATTAATTCGGGTGCACATGAGCGTGAACCTGCGTCGGACACCGCAGGGCCGCTACGGCGGAAAGTGAGCACTGCGGGAGCAGCCCGGGCCCCGGAGACGACAGCGGGGTTGACAGGGCTGGGACTGGGGGCGGCCAGGTGTGCGCTAGGGGACGCGGGGGACCTGGTCAGGGGCTGGAACCAGAGGACAGGGCGGGGCGGAGGACTAGGATGCTCAAGGGACCCGGCCAGGGTGAAGTGCGTGTCCACCCGACACCCGAGCGCCTGCCGGGAGGAGAGCGGCAGCAACCCAGGTGACGTCCGTGCCCAGCGCTGGCGCGCGCGTTTCCTAAACGCTGGCTGGCAAAGGTGGATCCACACACACCCCCTCCAGCCTTGGAGTCACCGACGCTTCGCCCTGTAATTGTTTTTCAGCGCTGTGATGAGCTGCTGAAGTCATGGTGAAATGCTGTTCAGCCATCGGATGCGCCTCTCGCTGTCTACCCAATTCCAAGTTGAAAGGACTGACCTTCCACGCGTAAGACCTGCTGCGGGCCACCAAGCGCTTCCCCTGCACAGAGCACATGACTACTGCGGGGTGCAGTGCCAAACTTCAGCCCCCAGTTTTCAGGGCCACTATTCTGGACAGTCCTATCTGACTTGTGTTCTTAAATTTCTACTTCTAAATAAGCTTTGTGTTAAATATGCTGGCAGTGACACCTTTACCCTTTTGTAATTTAGTATAAGATTTAAGATACTGCCAAGGTGTCACACTCGTTAAAAAAGTGCTATGGACACTTTTCGTAAAGTTTTTTTTTTTTTTAAAAATTTTTTTTTTTCTTTGCACTTGCAAGAAAGGCAGCAGAACCACTGAGCTAAATCCCTGGCCCCCTAAAGTTATTATTTTGTGTTTTAACATTGTATTTTCTTTAAAGAAAAGGTCAGCAAAAAAAAAAAAAGAGGTCAGCAATGTTTACAAAATATGAAAGATTTTTGCTCGAATATGTTGTCCTTTCTATTAAACAGATGACAAAGCTTAATTTGTAAGGTGCAAATTATGGTTCAGACCAAGCATTCTTCAGCAGTATTGCAGATAAGATGATCTTTGTTTTAGCCATTTTTCTGGCAGTGATGGAAGAGGAGTAGTAGGATTTAAACATTGTTCCCTTGCTAGAAGTTGATTCTGCCTCTTTTGTGCCAGGCACTGTGCTAAGTGCTAGAGAAAGATCTGCTAGTTTATTTTCTAAATGAGTATGTATGCCCACCTTATTCCAAAAAAAAAAGATTTGAACTAGTTTGGAGAATTGAGAAACGTGATTATTAGTCTTCAGGTGTCTCAGAATATTTCTGATAGACAGAATTCCAGAATCAACTACATTTCTCTTCATCCACTAGCATTTTTAGACCTGGTGAGCATTAAATGTTGGACTGAGAAGTTCTCTGGTGGTGATAAAAGAAAGTGCAAAGGGCCCTACCCATTGGGGATGATTTCTAGATATCACTTTATACAGGAAAAGCCCAGGATATTTTTTAACATCTATAGGTGGAGAAAAACCTTTAATTGTGGATCTTTCTATAACATGCTAAATATTTGTTGAAACTTTTCTCTCATAATATGAGAAAAATGAGGGCCATATGTCTGCAGAATTGGCCGAAATTCAGAATATTAAATCTGAATTACATGAGCATAAATCATAGTTTCCTGAATATTGCAGTTCCCAAGAGTGGTGACAAACTAGGTAAGGAATTAGGTTAGCCACAGTCATAGAGGACAGCTTTAATTGAACTATATATCAATAGTGATTGGTTTTAAGTTTGTTTTGTAATTTTTTCTAGATTCCCCACAGATGAAAATGTCAAAAGAAATTGGGTATTAGCAATGAAAAGACTTGATGTGAATGCTGCAGGTATGTGGGAGCCTAAAAAAGGAGATGTGTTGTGTTCAAGGCACTTTAAGAAGACAGATTTTGACAGAAGTGCTCCAAATCTTAAACTAAAACCAGGAGTCATCCCATCTATATTTGATTCCCCATACCACTTACAGGTTGGTTTATGAGATACTACTTACCATTAATGCTCACTTTCAGTGGCATGATTGAAGATCTTCAACACTCTTGCCTACATTTCTATTGTTTATTTATCTATTTTCACAATGTGTAGTAGGACTATTTTACCAGTAGGCACTCAAACATTGGTGCATGACAAAGGTTTGGTAAAGTCCACTGACTTAGGAATTGACATAACTCAAGATTTGTGTCTTAAAAAATGGAAATTTACCTAAGCTTGAGGGCAACCCATTCAGGACCCTTCCAGTCTCTCAGGAGCTATTCCTATTCTGCATTCCTGTTACCCATTTCTATTCCCCAGTAAGTTGTCCTACTCTTAACCTATGGGGGGAAAACATAAACAAAATAAGGTTGATCAGAAGTTCCACGTTGGCAGTACAAAAGGAGTCAAGAGTACAACCACTGACAGAATCACAGTGTGCTTCCAAGAGCAGCCAGATACACAAGTATAAAGTCTAGGTGGGACCAAAAGAAAGAAAACCAAGATGAAAAGGTAAGAACACAAGGAAAAAGAAATCAGAAAAAGAAAAGAGAAAAGTTGAATAAGTAAACTGTAGTTGAGTCCTTTTTCTTCTCAGGGATGATACCTGGGTTGGCATCCTGTCCTTTAGTATCTCTTAAGGGCAGATATCTGGGGACGTGTGTGTTTCCCAAAACTGGACAAAAAGACAGTTCCCATGTGAGAAACTCAAGGAAAACATTCCCCAAGGACTCGCTCTCTTCTGTAAGCAAGAGACACAAATGGTCCTGAGCCCTGCTGCTCCCTTCTGTGCAGGCTGCATCTCTGCAGTGATCACATACATCATGGTGCCTTAGCTGGAGATGGCTAGCACCCTTCTACCTCAGCAGATGTGAGCATCTTGTGTAGTTAGCCTGAAGGATGTCTTTTTCTCTTTCTTTTTTCCTGCCACTAACTGTTATCTAGCTACAGTATAAAACAGAACTTAGGAAACATGGGCATAATAAATTAAATCTTTTTTTTTTTAGACAGAATCTTGCTACATAGTTCAGGGGCTGGTCTCATGGCAGTCCTCCTGCCTCAGCCTCCTGGGTGCTGGGATTACAGGCATGCGCCACCACCAATAAATCAAATCTTAAATTGCTAACTTCCAAAATCTATTTCCTTATAACAAGATAATAGGAAATTAGGTGGTAGAAGCAAAATAAAAGTACTACAGAAATCATCCAGAGACAATACTGTGAACACTTGGATAGGTACCTTTCCAGTCATTTGTGCATATTTTGTATAAATTCACTTTTATTTATATACATCTTACAATAACACAATTTTGTGTCTCTTCCTTTGTTTGCTTTCTTTTTTGTGTTTTCACATTTGTACAGTGCTTACTATGCATGTGTCAGTGATACTCCAAGCACTTTACGTACATACTAACTTAGTTTTTGAAACACCCATAGGCAATTCTCATTGCCTTGCCTGAGGAATCAGAGGCCCAAAGAGCTGGTATACCTTCCTAGGACCACACTTAGGTTAACAACACAGATTGGATTAGAACCCAGGCACTTCAGCCCTAGACTTCATCTTAATTACTAAGCACCATTATGTTAAATGCAGGATTTGCCCATGATGGTGGCTTTTAAATGTTAGTCTATGCAGAAATTATTCAGAGGGTTTTTAAAATACTGAAACTTGTACCCCACTCCCAGGGAATTTAATTCAGTAAGTTTGAGAATTTGATTGAGTGAGCTTGCACTTTTTTTTTTTTTTTTTTTTTTTTTTTTTTTCCTGTACCAGGGATCATACTCGGGACCTTGAGCTTGTGAGGGAGGTAGTGGAACCACTGAGCCAAATCCCTGGCCCCAAGCTTGCACTTTTTAACAAGTACCCTACCTTATGCTACAGATCTGTGTGTCATTTGTTTAAAAAAAAACTTATGTAGGACATCGCTTTTCTTAAATTTTACATATTTGGGAAAGTGCACACCATAAGTGTGCAAATCACTGAATTTTACATGATAAATACATTCATGTGACTCACCTCAGATCAAGGAGTGACACTTCCTACCAGTGTCCCAGGAGCCTTCCACTGTCTTCCCAGCTCACTGTTGACTCAAGGCAACTACTACCTTGACCTGTATCACTACCAGTTATATAAATGGAGCCCTGTGTACAGTGTGCTTTGTGGCTTCTTTAGTTCAGCATGTAGGATTGATCCATGTAGTGCACAATGGCTTGCTATTTATTTTCTTTGTGATACAGTATTCTATTAAATGGATAAACATTTCTCTATTCAACTATTGATAAACATTTGGGGTTTTACTTTGAAGCTATTGTAATAAATGGTGTGGCTATGAGCATTTTTGTCCTTATCTCTAATATACTCTACACATTTTTGTAGAGTATATACATGCTTCTGTTAGAAATGGGAATTACTCCCAGCACTTGGGAGGCTGAGGCAGTAGGATCACTGTGAGTTCAAGACCAGCCTGGGCTACACAGTGAGTTCCAGGTCAGTCTCACTACATAGTGAGACCCTGTCTCAAAAAAAAAAAAAGAAAGAAATGGGAATTACTGAGGTCAGGGATGTATACGTTCAGTTTGAGTAGATACTGCTGTAGTTTTCCAGAGGGGTTTTCAAATGTACAGTCCCACCGTCAACACATAAAAGGTCCTTTGTATATCCACATTCTTGCCAGTACTTGATGGTGTCCATTTTCTGGAGAAGAGAGTTTTAAGAACTATACAACAGTCAATCCTATTTATGAACAGTGTTTCACTTTGCCAGTCAGACTTCACTGTTGTATTTGATCATCCTTCACCAGTGTAAACAACACTGAAATGCATATTCTAGCTGAATTTTTATTCATATCCTTATTTCCTTGAACTAAATGCCTGAAAATAAGGTAGTTGAGTGTATAGATTTTTAAAGCTTTTCTTCTGATACAGATCTCCCAAAGGCTTCTTAGAAAGCTTGAACCCACCCTGCTCACCACCAGCTATGTATAAGAGCGTCTGCTAACCCAAGTCTTTGATGCATCATAAAATTGACACAAAAAGGGCCTATTGTTTTCATTCATATTTCAACACTAGTGAAGTTCTGTATTTTTTCATGTGTTTATTGAACATTTATGTCTTGAGAAAGTTAATCAGGCCCTCTTCTGTACTTTTTAAACTACTTTGAAAAAACAGGATATCAATCTTTAACTGCCACTTATGTTACAGTGACTTTTTGTCTTTATTTTTTTTTATGACTGATTTTTTAAAATTATACTTTTCTGTGTAATCAATAGAATATTTTTTCTTGTATGATTTTAGCTGTGCCCATCTTAAGAAAATATAAATATTCCCTTCTAGTTCTTTGTGGTTTTCATTTTTACATAAAATTTTAGTACTCCAGTTTCATTGTGGTAACATACTATGTTTTCCAAAACATAATACCTACCGAGAAAACAAGTTCTAGCATGATTTTAGAAGAGACATCCCCTGAAAATAGGTATTTAGGGAAAACGGTATGTACAAAGAATATAACAGCTTTTCTTAAATAGTTTTTACATAGCTTATATCCTTCCTCCTGTCATTTAGACTGCCACTAGCATTTATCTGCTTTATCAATGTCTAGTCTGTATAGTCCTAAGAAAATAACCCACTGCTTTAGCTTTTTTATTGTGTACCATATTTTCAGTAGGTTAGCACATCCTGCCTGATTTTCACTGTTCCTTTTCAGGAAGATTTATGTTTTCAAATGAACTGTAGAGTGTCAAAATCTTGTTGGAATTTCTAAAAGCATTCTTCGTGAAAATAAGGTATTGATTAAACTGCACAAATTTAAGAAAATTTAAGTAGCCAGGCATGGTATTGCAAGCCCATAATCGGGGGACTGAAGCAGGAAGAGCCCCACAAAAGTTTGAGGCCACCCTGGGCTACATAATGAGTTCAAGACCAGGCTAAACTGCATAGTGAGACTATTGGGGGGATAGAAGCCAGCTGTAAGTGGCACATGCTTGTTACCTCAACACTGACAGCCTGAGGCAGGAAGGTCACAAATTCAAGCCCAGCCTGAGCAACTTCACACTTAGCAAGACCCTATCTCAGAATAAAAAATGAAATAGCTGAGGATGTAGCTCAGTGCAAAGGCTCTGAGCTTAGTCCCCACTACCGAAAATAAAAATAAGTATCTCGGTGATTTTTATTAAATCTTAACAGGAGAAAAAAGAAAAGCTTCATTGTAGAAAAAACTTTACCCTCAAAACCCTTCCAGTCACCAACCACAACCATCAGCTTGTTGGCGCTTCTTCGTACACTGAAGAATTCCAATCCCAGTTCATTTTTGTAAGTAAAATTACTAAACTAATGTTAATGCTTTTAAGATGAGTGTGTCCTATCCATTATGATCAAACTTTTCAGAATCAGCAAAAGCTAGGAATATGTGTTTGTGATTTTTTAAAAATTTAATAGGTAAATATTATTTCCCAAGGTCATTATAATTTGTATGTATGCAAATGCAGTATAGAGTTACTTAATCCTTTACTAAATTAAATCCTTAGTTCAAAAAAATCCCTTTGGAAAGGTATTTTTTATGTTTTCTGCATGGAAATACCTAGTAAAAATATTGTTTCCTTGAAAAACATTCATACACCTACAGAGTATTTGAGTCTGTTTATTTTTTCATCTATTGCCTGTTCATGTTAGTACCAGACCTGGAATATAAATCTATAGTAATAGCTTTATATAACTTAAAATTGGATTAGTACTCCCAATGTATTTTTCAAAGATGCTTTGGCTGTTCTAGATTCTTTGCATTTGCATATGAATTTAAAATCATGTTACAATTTTCTGCCCAAAAGCCTGCTGGAATTTTGACTAGTTTTGTGTTTTACCTATAGATCTCTGTTTGGGAAGATTGACATCTTAGTGGTCTTTCAGCACATGAACTCAGAATATCTCTGTTTAGGGTCTAACTTCTCAGCATTATTTTGGTTTCAGGACCCAGATGTTTCAGTTGATCAAATTTATTCCATAGTATTTTGTATGCTTGGATGTTGTTATGAACAGTATTATTTTGTTTGCTGCTAGATATGGAAATGAAATTGCTTTCTGTGCACTGATGTTGTATCTGGCAAACTGCCCCAACTCAAACAAATTAATTACAGTAGATTTCCCACTTAGATCATCATGTTCTCCGTGACTGAGGAGTTTCAGTTCTTCTCTTGCATGGATGTCAGTCTTTTCTTTGTGGTACTGCCCTGAGCCTTCAAGACTGCTGAACAGAGGGACTGAAAGCTGATCCCCTGCCTTGGTCCCAGTTGTTGCAGGAGAGCATGCCATCTTTCCCTGCCAGCTGTGATCTTAGCTGTGGGTTTTGATGAATGCGTTTTACCCCTTTATCCAGTGGAGGCAGTTTCTTCTGTTCTCAGTCTGCTAAGAGTCTATTGGAAGTGGAAGTTAGATTCACTAAATGCTGTGACTGTCTACTGAGTAATCATACGATGTTTCCTTTTTAGTCTGTTAATATAATGAGTTCTATAAATTGATTTTCAAAAATTAAGCCAACCTTTTGTTCCTGGAATAAACCTCATTTTCCTCGTTCATTATATATTATCCCTTTTTTTTTTTTTGTACTGGGACAAACTCCGGTCCTTGCTCTTACAAGGCCAAGTCATTGTCACTTCTGGGTTATTGGATTTTGTTTTTTTTGTCTAGTCTTTCATTACATGTTCAAGAAAGATACTTTGACCTATAGTTTTTTATTTTCTTTTGTTTTTACTTTCATTTGTCTAGTTTTAGCATCAGAATAATAACTGATCTCAAAAAGTGAACTGTAAAATATTGCTGACATTTTTGATATTCTGGAAAAGTTTGTGTAGGATGTTACTATTTCTTCTATAAGTATTTGATAGACTTCTTTCTGTGATGCTAGACTTGTAGTTTTCTTTGTGGGAAAGTCGGGTTTTTTTTTTTCAATAGTTTGTGTTTAAAGAATTTGTCCATTTCATCACAGCTGTTAAATTTATTAGCTTAAGATTGTACGTACCATTTTTTATTAATCCTTTTAGTAACTAGAATCTGTAATAATACGTCAGTCATTCTGATCATTTCTGGTCATTTCTATTCTTGTGTTGCCAATTAATCTGCTTAGAGATTTAATAGTTTTATTGATTTTATCAATGAGTAGCTTTTATTGATTTTCTTTCTACCTCACTGATTTCTACTTATTGATTTTTTTGTTCCTCATTAAGTTTATTTTATTGGTACATTTTACGTATACAGTACAGTTACATTCATCATTGGGATCTTGTACCTTTACATGACAGGTCTTGGTTCTCATTTTTTCCCCATACCCCTGTCCTCCCTTCATCCCCTCCTCCCTTCCCTATTTACAAAAACTTTTTTTCCATTTTTTCGTTTGCTCATATTTTTTCTTTTCCTTTATTTCCTTTCCCCTACACTTTTAGTTTTTCACACCAGAGAAACTATTTGGTATTTACACATGTGCAATTTATTTATTAAGAGTATGACCTCAGTATGCGTCCATTTTCTTATAAATGACTCTAATTTCTCATTCTTTAAGGCTGAGTAGTTTTCCATTTTATAGAAAAACTGTATCTAGAAAAATCCTTATCTAGTCTCCAACTGATGGGCAAATGGGCTGTTTTCAAGTTTTAGCTATCACAGACTGTGCCACTATAAACATGGGTGAGCATATATCACTGTGGTATGATTCTTTTAATTCTTTTGGAAAGATACCAAGCAGAGGGATAGCTAGGTCAAATGGAACCTTTAATCCTAGTTCTTTGAGGTATCTCCATATTGATTTCCATAGTGGTTGCACCAGTGTGCACTCCCACCAACAATGGAGAAGGGTTCCTTTCTCCCAACAACCCTGCCAACATTTGTTGTGTGATTTCTTGATAGCAGCCATTCTTTGTGGGGTGAAGTGGAATCTTAGTGTTGTTTTCATCTGCATCTCTCAAAAAACCAGTGATGTGGAACATTTTTTCATGTATTTATTTACTGCTTTTACTTCTTTATCTGAGAAATGACTGTTCATTTCAAATGCCCATTTTTGAATTGGGTCTTTATATTTGGGGTGCCTGATTTTTTTTGAGTTCTTTATATATTCTAGATAGTAGTCCTTTGTCTGTGGAGCAGCTGGTAAAAATTTTTTCCCACATTGTAGGTTGTCTCTTAGCTCTGTTGGTGGTTTATTTTGCAGTACAGAAGCTTTTTAATAAGATGAGATCCCGGTTGTTCATTCTTTGTGCTAGTTCCCGTGTGATGTTTTTTTTTTTTAAACTTACTCCAGTACAATTTGCTCATTTGGTTCCAATCAAAGTGGAAGCAGAGGTTATTGTATGAGACTTTCTAGTGTAGGCGTTCAGTGGTATTATTTCTCTCAAAGTATTTCTTCAGTGATATTAATTATGATATTAATTTCTCCCCGAGTATTTATGTTGTGTTTTCATTGTCACTCAGTCGGAACTACTTTCAAATTACATTTTGTTCTTTGTTATTTATTATTTCTAAGTATGTTATATAATTTCCATATATTGGAAAATTCTCTTGTGGCTAGAGGCTATCCATTGCACAGCCTAACTCCTTGTGCATATATTTAAGTGTATTTTTCATCCCACAGTGTGGTTGTTTGATATTGTGTAAGGCTTCCTTATCCTACTGAATTCCTCTCTACTTGTTTTATCTGTTTTTGAGAGTGTTAAAATAATGTAGTACAATTGGAGATTTGTCTGATTTTCCTTGCACTTATCAGTAATTTTGCCTGTTTTATTTTGAAGCACTATTACCAGGTATTTTAAGATTGTTAGCTTTGATAAATCAAACCGTTTGTTATTACAGAACTACTTTCATTATATTTGGTAATCATCTTTGCTCTGAGCATACTCTGATTGTTGTTACTCTTATCAATGTTACTATCTTTGAAGTGCTTTTTTTTTTTTTGGAGGCAGCATATACTTTAGGTTTTGTTCTCACTTGTTTTTAGTCCAGACTGATAATCTTCCTTTTAATTGGATTGTACTGAGAGCTGATCAGACCCTCAGCTACCTTTTAGGGGAAAAGATGAGGAATAAAAGAGATAGGGACAATTTTCTAGATAGGAAGGGGAATGGGGAGGAGACCTGCCTCTAGCAGACAGACTCAGATAAAACTCTGCAGTTGACCCACTTTTATTAGGCAGTGAGAAGGGCAGGGGTGGTTTGCACCGGTTTTCATGGAACAACAGCTATAGAGAATTAGTGGATAGGGTTTAAATTAATGAGGAACTAGATTTGCTCTACACCCAAATGCCTGTGTATTCATAACTGTCCTCAGCAGAGACTTTTTTTTTTTTCCAGTACCAGCGTTCAAATTTAGGACCTTGAACTTGTGAGGCAGGTGCTGTCCTTTGAGGCACTGACCAAATCCCCAGCAGCAGATGCTATCTTGACTCAGGAGTACCTGGTTATTGGCATGCTGCCCATATCCCAGGGGCACACAAACTTCCATCCTTCCCTGTTCCTGTGGAACTCAGACCTTACACTTGCAAGGCAGGGACAAGATACTGAGCTAAATCCCTAGCCCCTTAAGATATTTATTCTTGATGTGACAATTGATATTAAGGTTAATTCTTTTGTTTTCTTCTTTGTTTCTTATTCCATTTGCTTTTTGTTCCTATTTTCTTCTTTTCTGCCTTTTAGACCAAGTATTCTTTTTTATTCCATTTTACCTTCTTTGACTCATTAGCTAGAACTGTTTTATCTTAGTAGTGTCTGTAGGTTTGTGACACACCTGTAACTTATCCCCTATTCAGTGTGCACATCTCACAATAGTGCACCTTGATGTCTCCTGCCTGCCTATGCCACTGCTGTCCTGTGTTCCAGTTTCACACATGCTACAGACTCCACATTGTGTTGTCATCATTTCTGTTTAAACAAAGATCATCTTGGACTGCGGATTTAGCTCTGGTGCCTCGCAAGTACAAGGTCCTGAGTTCAATCCCCAGTACAAAAAAAAACACACACACATAAAGTTCATCTTGTAGAGACTTAAATAAGAAAGAAACTTGGTATTGCCTCGTAGTTGCCTTCCACGTTCCCTTCAGGGCTTGGTGTGAGTCTCTATTTCCACTCAGCTGGTTCCACAGCAAGGACTTCCTCTGACATGTTTTGTGGGGGCAGTAATGCTGTGATAAACCCTTCAGCATTCTTATGTCTGAAAAGTTATAATTAGTCTTCATTTTTTTAAGTTATCTTCACTAGGTATTAAATTCTAGGTTGATAATTTTGAAATTTTTTTTGGTTCTAGCACTTTTAAAGATGTTCCACTGTATTTTCACATGCATTGTATCTGATGAAAAATGCTGTACTTGGGCTGGAGATTTAGCTCATTGGCACCTCACCTGCCTCGCAAGTGCAAGATCCTGAGTTCAATCCCTGGTACAAAAAAAAAAGTTTTATACTGTATATTTTTGCTCTTTTTTTAATATTTTGTACTAGTTTTGATTAATTATGATATGCCTTGTTTAGTTTTCTCGATATTTCTTGTGCTTGGGATATGTTGTTGAGATTTATTATCTCTGGATTTATATTTTCCATCAGTTTTGGAAAATTTGGGGCCATGATTCCTTCAGGTGTTTCTTTGTATTCCACCTTTGCTTCCCTGTCTTTTGAAGGCTCTAATCACGTATGAGGCTGCTGAAGTTATGCTAAGGGTGCTGTACTTTGATGTTCATTTTTCTTTTGTTTTTACTATTCCTGCTTCCGTATAGCAGCTCTTCAACATTATTATTTTGTACCTTTTATAAGATACGTTAGTGTTGTTTTTCTTGTTTTCATATGAAAATTAAAAACATCTGTACACAGCAAATCTTAAACATAACCATAAGTCTCAATGGGAGTTAAAATTATCACTGCAAAATTTGGAAACCAGAGTCCTCTACAGATCCCCTCTGCCCCAACTGCAGACCTGTCCCAATGTTCTTTGCTTTTTACCTTTCATAAAGGTGAAATAGTCATCAAAATAAAGTAATAGGTAAGAATTAAGCTCACCAGTACCACAGGAATGAATGAAGCTGTGTAGTCGGTACAGGAGTCCAGGATTTATAGCAAATGTAAGCCCAGATCATCTGTAATATTCTGTGCACCTTGTGTCTTCCTGTTCTTGGGAGAACAGAGAGGCCTGTGCACTGCTTCCACCCCATCTTCTCCCAGAGTGTTTACGCCTCCACACGTCACCCACTCAAGAGACCTTTGCTAAGCATCATAAGTAAAAAAACAGCCAAAGCCCTGGTAACAGGCTTCTGTCTAATGCTAGTGTGTCTGTTGAATAACTTAAGTGTTTATGTTTTCAGGAGCACAGCTACAGTGTAATGGACAGTCCAAAGAAACTCAAGCATAAGTTGGATCATGTGATCAGCCAGCTAGAGGATACCCAGGAAAGTCTGCGCAATGTTTTAGACCGAGAAAAGCATTTCCAGAAATCACTGAGGAAGACAATCAGGGACTTGAAGGATGAATGTCTCATCAGCCAAGAAACAGCAGAGAGACTGGATGCATTCTGCTGGGAGCCTCCTCAGGAGGGCACAGAGCATGACTGTTCCGCGAGGTAGTGCCATGCTGCTCTCTGCCTGCAGTGGGCGTTGCTGCAGCCCTTCAGGGCATCATTTTCACATGTGTCCTGGGTTAGTCTCTGTCACTGAAGTGCTGCCCGGGTCCCTTGGAATGTTACACATTATGGTGGTTATCTGTAGGTGTTTTTGAAGATATTCAGAAATACCTATGTGGTAGTTCAGTGTTTTATGTCACTTGTGATACTTAATGTTTTTTATAGACTTAAACTAGTGCCAGATCGCTATCTCAAGAAAATTCCACAGAAATAAGGAAATTATATTAGCCATATTAAACTCTGGTGGTAGGAACCAGACACTCCAGCAGCAACAAAGTTTTTGTTTCAAGTGAATACCTTTAATTATACTTGCTTTATGGTAAGTAGGGTTTTATTTTAAATATATTTTAGTATAAAGCAGACTTCATTGTAATGACATCCATCTTGCATCCAACCCAAGATAATTTCATTAATACTAAAGGGTCTTTTATGCTTCTCATAGTACTGATCCTAAGAATAACATGTAGGAAAAATGAATAGGCTTTTAAAGTTGGCAGCCAATTTAAGAAGACCCTTCACAAGGGTACCCCTTACCTCCTCGAGAGAGACACTCAGCTGTAAACCAGAGTTGGTTTAAAAACAAAGCCAAAAAATGGTGCAAGTGTGATTTTAAGTGGTCAGTTGCTGTAGTAGCTCTCAGCACCTCTCAGCACTTGGCTGCCTGACTGTTAGCTACACCACAAAGGTCTGTGTTCAAAGTCTGCGTGCTGGAATTAGCTGAATACCTGGAAGTGTTGCACTGCATTTTATGGAAAGTAATATTGCCGACTTTTTTTAAGTATAGAAGAAACCATTTTAAAATTAATAATTCTGGATCTTGTGGAAATAGGAGTTAGCAGTTTTAGAATAGCTTCTTACTGAATACACAAAAGAGTCACTGAGCTATTTTTTGATTGACTAGGGTGTCAAAAGTTTACCTTCTCTCTTAATTTTATCCCCAAACAGCTGAAACCGAGTGATAAGTATACAGTGAACTAGAAGAAAATTCTCAACCAAAGTCACCCTCTTCTGGGAAGCACATGAACATCACTAGTCATCCATGCTGTAGTGGTTAGCATTTGAGTGCCAGATGTTTCATTGTGTTAACCAGAAACTAACTGCATTTTATGCTCTTTTCTTCATTGCAGTTTTATGTGTGTTACATTAGTATCAGAACGCATATGATCACTTGAATGTTTGTATTTAATAATTTTCTATGTTTTAATGTGTATTGTTAATGTAGGTCTCCAAACCCTCCTTCTAAATGGGGTTTTTATCCACATTTGAAAGATTTATGCTAAAGGCAGATCACTGAAGTCATAATCCTTTTGCTACCTTAAAATTTTATGATCTATTATTTATTTTAGTTATTTAATTTTGAATTCATAATGACACTCGAATGAGAAGTCCGGGTCTAACCTTAGGTTTTACAGAGACACTGTAATAGACGTGAAGACTTCCTCACTCTGTCCGTGCGCATACAGATCCAAGTCACCGAGTGGATGTGGAGAAGAGTGAGCAGCCAGGCCTCAGCCCAGTGTCCTCAGTTCCGAAACTGCTGCCTGTGTAAGGAAGGCTCTTCGAAGAGTCCCAGCTTCTGTCATACACAGTTGCCACCATCACTTCTGCTACTGTGTACAGTAAGGTCAGCCCTCCTGTCTTTCTCACTGGACCTAATACCACTGACAGGTAATTCGCCAAAATATTAGCATCCTTAAGGACCCAGAGCTGCCCTGTGTTCTTTGATTCTTAGTGAGAAATGTTTACCAGCAGAAAGCTGATGAAAATAGGGTCCTCACCATCCACCGCCCAAGTGCCTGGACAGTGGCCACATGGACCTGCATCCTTGGTCCTTGCAGGGAGAGCATCCTGTACAGTGAAGCCAGGTCATCCCAGCTGGAGGTCCTCAGGCAGCCTGAGCGACCAGGGTTCAGGTGTTTTACCCTGTCAAGCACTCACTGGACCCAGAAGCACACAATCCGGGCACAGCTCAGTACCAGCCAGGTATGGCAGGCTTCAGGGTTCTGCTCACTTGAGGGTCAAGGTCCGAACGGCAACTTGAGTTGCTAAAGTGTAGTTTTATCATAGTCTTTCATTTGAGAAAAAATTGATTATATCAAATATTTAGGTTTAATAGAGATAAAATTCTTAAATAATTGAAGAGTGAAAAATCCATTTTTTAAAAATAAAGGCCAGGGGTTTAGCTCAGTGGTGCTGCCTCCTGCCTCACAAGCACAAGGTCCCAAGTTTGATCCCATGTACCAAAAAATTTAAAAAATAAAATATTTCTTTATGAATGAGTCATGGTATTTATTAATAAAAACAAATTAATGATTTTATTTGTCTTCAATAAAGTGGGCAGGGAATAAGAACACAGGTACAAAAGTTTGCTTTCATTCCTTCTGTGTCTTTTCCCTCCCCAGTAACAAGGGCCGCTAGGTCAGCTGACCTGAGTGGCAGTCATCTTAGTGGTCTCTGCTCCCTCCTGCTAGCAGTGCCTGCGTACATAAGGGCATAAGGGCAGGCAGTGTTCCAGGGGCGACACCTGCTGCTTTCAGGCCCCAGAGAGCTCTGTCATAGCAGGGCCAGCAAGTTGTGATCATTTGTTTTGTTTTGTATTTAGAGATAGGTTCTTGCAGTTCTGCCTCAGATCCTGGTAATTTGTAGTCTGCTTAAGAGGGGATGTCCTAGCATGCCCCAGATCACTGGACATACCTCCGCAAAATTTTACTGGTACTGTAGGCCCCTAAATTTTGTGGGTTTTTATCTTACCTTCTATAGCATGTGCTTTATCAAGGCCTGCAATTTACTAGTCACTTGTTTTGTTAGAATAACAATCCATCAATGTAGTGACCTATGAATTTCCTTTAGAACATCTTCTCTCAGTCCTTACAGCATAACAGAAGCAGCAGCACTAACACAGCCTCAGGACAGACAGACTAATAGTCTCCCAGGGACTAGGGACAGACAAGCACACACCCATCTACTCAGTCACACGGTGTGGACCCTGGCATTTTCATCTGTCCCAAAAGATGATGGCATAGCCACTCTAGACAAGACTACTAGGTTAAATTTGCCTCTGAACTGACCCTGCAGGATCTGTCTGTATTTCACAGGGTGCAGTGTGTGCATTAAATGGTACGGAGTGAGGGCCATCATTCCTGTATGCTCTAGGTCCACAAAAGTGTAGTTTAGCCCTGATTCTCTGAAACATACTATGCAAAACAGTTCATGTGGGAGGTGAAGTGTTACAAGGTTTTCTTGGTTGTCATCTGGGAGTTGGACTCGGGGAGACCTATCATTAAAAGTGACTCGCTCTACCTTCACTGTTCGTGAAAGCGGTGTTTACACCATACGACTGCTCTGCTTCCAAGAATCTGGAATCTGAGTGCATCAGGCAGAGGATGTCTGTGTGACAAGCCCTTAAGACACTGGACACTGAGTCTTCAGTGGGCTCCTGAGGTACAGCACTCCTTGATGCCACTGAATTAAGTGTGTTCTGTGTGACTACACGGAGAGCACTGAGGGAATCGTGTGGCTGATTTCCTTTGGATCGTGTGTCTTTTCCCCTTGCTGGTTTGTCTTTTCTTCACATCCTTTTCCTGTAATCCTAGACACAGGTACAACTGTGTGCTGAGTTCTGTGACTCTCCCTAATAAATCATCAAAGCTCAGGGTGCTCCTGGACCTCAACACAGATGTCCTTGCAGAATTGCCTGTCATAGTCTAGGTAAAGTTGGAGGTAAACTAGTATTGGTAGGGTAAGAGGCAGCCCGCGGGAATATCCCAATACCTAAAACGGTGCCTTCCCACACCTGGGCACAAGTATTGGGCTGGTCTCGTTTAATTAATACCTTTCATCCTGAAGTGCCCCCCTCCCTCTTCCTGCCTGAAGAATACATGTAGGTAATCTTCCAACATTGGAATCCATCCAATACCTACATATGACTCAAAAATCTGTCTGCACTCCATTTCTGCTGATTATATACTCTTGGCATCTCAGGCACAGCCCTTCCTTATCCACCCATCTCCAAGTGGTTTCCTTGTGTAAAACCATTATCTCTTAAATGGATCACTGGCTGTAATCTGCTTCCAGAAGGGTTTGCCCTTCATGGTTTTTTTGTTTTGTTTTGTGTTTTGTTTTGTTTGTTTGTTTTTTTGTTTTTGAGATAGGGCCTCACTATGTAGTTGAGACTGACCTGGAACTCACTATGTATCCCAGGCTGGTCTCGAACTCCCAGCGATCCTCCTGCCTCAGCCTCCCAAGTGCTGGGATTACAGGCGTGCACCACCACAGCCGGCTTGCCCTTCATGTATTTGTCAATAATTATATGACACACAAGTGGTCTAAAATCAAATATGGCTGGGCATGGTGGCACACACCTGTAATCTCAGCACTCAAGGCTGAGGCAGGAGGATCACCATGAGTTCAAGGCCAGCCTAGGTTACATAGTTCAAATCTAGCCTGAACTACATAGTGAGACTTCTTGGAGCCTCATTTATTGATATTTATCTTTTCAGCTCATCAAGGAGTCTGTCCACTGGCATATTCAGTGCAACAACTCTTCACATCCGCTGCTTCTGTGGTTCTGTGCACCACTGTGCGGACATACAGATGAATAAGAGAAGCGTTCACACCACTCGGCACACAGGCCCTGCACAGAACGGGTTCCTAGACGGTGGGGTGGGCACCGGGGCCAGCACGATGCAGAAGCTGTGAAACCGACAGAGCCTCTACTCCACACAAGTGTGTCAGAGTCTCTCAGCTGTCGCATCAGATGTCCTCACCTGGGGGAGAATCACACAGCCCTGGTGATGCGGTCCCGCCACTGGCGGACGTACAGGACCTCGTCAAGCTGCTGAATTTGAGCCTTTTTGAAGTAGACAATCATATCCTCCGAGCTCAATTGTGAAAAGATTTTTAAGTATAAAACACAGACCGTGCAATGAACGTTCTACAGATTCTTCTACAGAAGAATGGCAGGAAGCAAAAGGAGGAAATGATTTGATGATTTGGTAGAGAATGAAGGTGGTGTGGGCAGAGTGGCCAGGCTGTCTGTGCCTTAACTCACCTTCCCTCTCTGTGGCGGCTCAAAACAAACAAAGAGCATTGTCCACTTAGAGAGAAAATTGCCTTCTAATCACCCATCTTCCCACCCCAAACTGATGGGCCATCTCATCCATCTTGGAGGTGTTTCATTCATTCTACTGTGTAGCTACTCAGAAAGGGCCTTGCAGACCAGTGTACAAGTGAAAAACCTTGTCTGGAGTGTAGACCAGCTCCGTCAGAAGTACATCAGAAGCTCAGTTCAGGCCACACTGTGCTGAGAAGGAGACCTTGGCTGGCACGGAGGATGAGGGCCTCTATCCCCTCAGGACCAGCCGCTCTGAGTAGCTGTCTCACAGCACCAGGTCACCCCCCACTATCTGGACACACCCAACCTGCGGCTTGTGGTCAGCTGGCAGCACCAGTGCTCCCGACAGGGCTGCGGCATACAATAAAATTCCCTGGCTCCCCATGGTGAAGCCTGGGCTCTGAAGAGCTGATGTCATGCCTGACTCAGCAATCTGGGCCTCATGCTCTTGAGAAGAGAAGGATTCATTACATAAAGGGAACGGAGTGGGCGGGCTGTCAGGAAGCTGCCCATCACACCAATGATGAGCACCTCGCAGGCACGTGCACTTGGGGCTCAGGTCTGCAGTAAAATGGCTCAGCACAATTTCAACAAAGACGAAGGCTCCTGCTGCTTGTTAGAAGCAGTTATAATGGTGCACAAGGTTACACAGCTGAAAGAATTTATCTCTGACATCCAGGGGATTTTAAAACTTTCTGGCTGCCACTCTCACACACTTATAGATGGTCTTAAGAGTAGGAAACATCTTGCTCTTTAACTTCCGGTGGCCCTCATCACCATCACTTGGCCACACTGTGTTGAAATGGCTTTAACTGGAAACTGAATACAGCTATTCAAAAGAGCAGACTCACCAGGGCACCAGAGCCCTGCAAATTTAAGAATGAAATGCAAACACAACAACAACAACAAAAGGAAAGAAATGCGAACATTCTATAAATTAAAACTGAAAACCCTTCCAGCAAATTATTTATAAATAAATGTACCTGATGGGATGACAGAAAGAGCCCCATGTTGGCTCTGAGGTCTGTTTGTGAGAACAGGAAAAGAAAGGGAACCCAGCTCTCCATCAGGTGGGAAATGGGTAAAACCATGCTGAGCAGAAGAAGCAGCACTCCAGCGAGAGCAATCAGTCTGCATTTATAGCCATGGGAAGAAAATACATATTTTAAATGGAAAAGTACAATTTAGCGGGCAACTTAAAATTGCATCTCATTATGTATATAACATTGTTTAAAACCCATTTACAAAACGGTTTGCACACACATACACGAAGTGGATGTCGGTGTGTTGAAAAAGGAATGGCAGGTGTGTGCCAAGCTGTTAGAACTGGTGATTTCTTGGAGACAGGTAAATTCTTCCCGTGAAGCAAAGACAGGAAGAGAGACAGAAAGAATCAGAGGTTGAGGTGGGCAGTAAATGTAGGCCAGGAGGAAGGGAAAGAAGATAAAGAAAATTACCATAACCACCCTCCCAGATTTGATAAGATTGCTGCCACCAAAACTAATGTTGACACTTGCTTCCTGCAACAGCAGTGCTGGAGAACAGGCTTAGGTATGGATTTAGTCCCCATCAAGAGTGGGTTAGTTGGAGAAAGAGCTACTTTCTAGGAGGCATCCAGCCCCTCTCCCTCCCTGCCTCTCTTCTTAACATGTCACATGTCACTGTACTGCAGATAGGTAAATTAATTAGGTATCTTGTAGGTGATTAGACAGGGCCTCCCTCAAGGAGCTAACACAGCAAGGAGCCAACACGGAGGACAATCAAGACACAGTCACTAAAGGCCAGAATTGTAGTAGGAGAGAAACTACTATACCCTTGTGCTTCCCCTGGGGGTAAATAGCAGTGATTGATACTCCAAATAGGTTTCAGTCACCTGGGTGGGGGGGGCCAAGGTCTTAACCCAGGCTTTCCAGGAAACATCCCTGACCCCACTCTTACTGAAAATCCTCGTGTGCTTGTTAAGTGACCTGCTCCCCCATTTGATCCCCACCTGGTCAATATTACCTGGGTGACTGTACTTGTAATCTTATTGGTTGTTCATGGTTTTGCCCCAACGCATGCCCACCT